AAAAAGAGGAACAGAAGGACATTCTTGCTAGAATGATACTACTGTGCCTATGGCCCACAAGAACAGGAGAATCCACAAACTTTTTAATATCTCTAAAGATGATGTCTGTCAATATACTGTTCAAAAGCCCTTATGGAAGATAAGAAATCCAGGACTAAAGGAGCCAAGATTCAGCATCTCATTACTCCACATAACCTACAATACTAATACTGTTGTATTGCTCTGAAGAAACAGTACATTAAGAAAAATAAGGAAGAGACTACAGAATATGCTAAACTTAGCCAAGAGAATGAAAGAAGCCAAAGATAAATGCCAGGAACAGGTTGCCAAGAGACACAAGCTGTCCTCCGAGAGCTACTTGAGTCAAAAATAAGAATTTTTAAGAATAAGATCAGATCTCAAAAAAATTGTGTGCCTATACACCAAGTACTGAAAAAATCTGAAAAAATTTAATAATATCATTTACAATATTGTGCAAAAACTAAAATATTTAAGAACAAAGTTAACCATGGAAGCACAACAATCATAAAGTGAAAATTTACAAAGCACTGCTAAAAAAAAGTGAAGACCTAAATAAATGGAAATATATCCTGTATTCACCAAATGGATGACTTAAGATGGTGATACTACTCAAAGTGATCTATAGATTCAATGTAGTCCCTATCAAAATTCCAGTGGGTTGTTTTGTTTTTTTTTTCTGAAGTGGACAGCTAACCTTAAAATTCACACGGAATGTCAAAGGTCCCAAGCAATCTTAAAATGGAACAAAGTTGGAAGATTTATTTCCTTATTTCAAAACTTATACTACAAAGCAACAGTAACCAAAATTATGATACTAGCATGAGGATAGACATATAGAATAATGCAACAGAACAGAGAAATAAACACACTTATGGCCAGTTGATTTGCATAAGAGTGCCCAGATCTTTCTATAGGACAAAGAATATTCTCATCATCAAAAGAAGCTGGCACCACTGAATATCCATGCAATAAATAAACTAGTATTATATAATATATAATATGAAAAAATTAACACAACATACAAAAATTAACTCAAAATAGATCAGAAACCTAAATTAAGACTTAAAATTACATAAGGTTTAAAAGAAAATACAAGGGAAAAGTTGTATGACATCAGTTTTGCGGAGATCCCTTAGATACAATACTAGAAGCTCAGGCAACAAAAGTCAAAACAGATATATCACACTATATCAAAATTTAAAACTATAAAGAAAATTCAAGCGGGCAAAAAATACAATCTATGAAATAGGAGGAAATAAATATAAATCTTGTATTGAAAAAGAGTTAATATCAGAATACATAAAAAACTCCTATTACTCAACCACAAGATAAATAATAACTTAAAAACAGGCAAAGTATTTGAATAGGCATTTCTCCAAAGAAGATATACAAATAGCTAACAAGCACATGAAAAGATGCTCAGATTCACAAATCACTGGAGAATGCAAACCAAAACCACAAAGAAATGCTACCTCATACAAATTAGGACGGCCACTATTAAAAGAAAAACTCAGGAACCACTGTGTGTGTAGCTTGGTGGCAGAGCACATGCTCAGCATGCATAAGGCCCCAGGTACAATATTCAGCACCAAAAATAAAACCAGAAAATAACAAGTGTTAGAGCCAGGTATTTAGCTCAGTGGTTCCGGCACCTGCCTTATAAGCTCAAGGACCCGAGTTTGATCCCTGGTACCAAAAAAAAAAAAAAAAACCCCAAAACAAAAAACAAGTGTTGTTAAGGATGTGGAGAATTGGAACCCTTGTGCACTGATGTGAATATAAAATGGTGTGTTCACTATGGAAAACAGTATGACAGTTCTTCATATCTTTGAAAATAGACTGGCACGGTGGTTCACACCTGCAATCTTAGCTATTCAGGAAGGAAGCTGAGGCAGTAGGTCCTCAAGTAAAAGGCCAGCCTGTCTGACTTAGCAAGACCCTATCTCAAAAAAAAAAAAAAAAAAAGACTGGGGATGTAGCTCAGTGCTTTCTGGGATCAATCCCCAGTTCTGGGGGAAGGAAAATGAAAGTAGAATTACCAGATGATCCAATCTCCTTCTGGTAATATGTCCAAAAGAACTGAAAGCAGAACTCAGATACAGTATTTTACAGCAGTATTATTCACAACAGCCAAAAGGTAAAAGAAGCCTGAGTGTCCATCAAAGGATAAACAAAATCTGGTATATACACACATGGAATATCAATCAGCCTTAAAAAGAAAGGGGGAACAGCAGGCATGGTGGCACATAGCTGTAATGCCAGCACATGGGAAGCTGAGGCAGGAGGATCACCATGAGTCCAAGGCCAACCTGGACTACACAGTGAGTTCAAGGCTAGCCTGAACTACATAGCGAGACAGTGTCTCAAAAAACCAAAACAAACCAAACCAAAAAAAAAAAAAACAGAGAGAGAGAGAGAGAAAGGAGGAGTAGGGGGAAAGGAGGGATAAGGAAGAAGAGGGAAGGAAAATGGCTTTCCCACGTACTACACCTTTTGAACTAAAATATAGTTTTACAAAAATCACATCATCCACAGTTGAGAGAAAACTTTTGTGATTATCTTATCTCTACTGTCGCAACAGTTGGTTCAGTTATTTTTCTATTGTAGAATAACTACCTATTTACCCTTGAGTAGTGGGGAAATAGTGTAGAGCCCAATCAGTTTTATATAGCTTCACTGACTTAAGTCACTTAGGAATAAGAAAGTAACAAAAAAATTTGGGGGGTTTAAGAGATTAGATGGCTTTCCAGAGCCCATTTCCCAGCTACTGTGAATGGATCCACAGTCACATGTAATGCTTAAGAGGATTATCTAAAAAATCATACTATTGTATCCAGAAATTGAGTGTTAGCTATATTCAAACCTTTTACAGGCAATTTATATAATTGCTAGATGTGATCAAAAAGACAACTAAATACTCTACAACTATGTAAGTTTTCTTGTTCCCCTGAAAAAAACTTTAATTTTCCAGAAGTTTAGCAGGTAAGATTATATAATTCTAAAAAAGATTATATAGTTTTCCTTAAAAGAAGCAAGGTAAGGGCTGGGGATTTAGCTCAGCGGTTTGGTGACCTGCCTTGCAAGATCAAGGACCGAGTTCAATCTCCCCAGTACAAAAAAAAAAAAAAGAAAGAAATAGTACTTCCTATTGTTTTCGGCTGGGGATTTAGCCCAGTGGTTCCGCTGCCTGCCTTGCAAGCACAAGGTCACGAGTTGGATCCCTGGTACCAAAAAAAAGAAGCAAGAAGCCAGGTGTGGTAGAGCACACCTATACTCCTAGTACTTGGGAGGCGGAGGGCATGAGGATCACCTTGAGGTCAAGTCCAGCCTGCACTACAAACCAAAGAGAGAAACAAAGACGGATAAACTAAACAATGGCCAGTACCAGTTTCTCATATTTTTATTAGAAACCAATTTTCCAAATAAATCTCAAATTATTAAAGCAAGAGGAGAAAAGTGGAGTTTAACTAGTATATTCCGAAAAAAAAAACAAAAACAAAAAAAACCCAAGCTGCAAATCTTATTTTTTATCTTGTTTATCAACTTTTATCTCTACTTTTTTTCTTTTTTCTTCTTTTCTTTTTTTTGGGGGGTCATTACCTGGGATTGAATTTAGGACCTTGTACTTGCAAGGCAAGTGATGTCACTGAGATAAATCCCAAGCCCAATCTCTACTTTTTTTGGGGGGGAGGTTTGAGACAGTGTCTCACTATGTAGTTAAGACTGACCTGGAACTCACTATGTAGTCCAGGCTGGTCTTGAACTTGCAGTGATCCTCCTGTCTCAGCCTCCCAAGTGCTGGGATTATAGGAGTGCACCACCACGCCCGGCCCAATCTCTACTTTTGACTATAACAATATACTGCTTTGTTGGCACAAAATAGAATTCAAACTCAATTTCTTTTCTCTTTAAGCATCTTATTCTCAAAATTATACTGTTCTAGACAACAAATTCATTTTAGATTTGCACACCATCAATTTCCTGCAAATACTCCTCTTTTCACATAGTATATATTTTTTATATTCTTTACCTTAAAAGTAATATAAACTATGACATATTTTCCAACTACAGCTGGCTACAGTAGATTCCATCTCATATATGATGTTGGTATTTCTTGCTTCAAGTGGTAGGGGTCTATGCCTACACCCTTCTCCAAACCATGATAAACCTTTATAACTATTTCAACCAACAGAACAAAGTAACATCATGTGACTTCCAAAGCTAAATCTCATATGCCATGCATCTTTGTCTTCCTTTTTTGGGATGCTGTGTTGGCTTCCATCCATCATGCTGTGAAGAAGCCAAGCAGCCACAAGGATAGGTGTTCAGGCCAGCAGCCTAAGGTGAGACCCTGCCAACAGCCAGAATTAACCACCAGAAACGTGAGTGAATGAGACTTCAAATGATTTCAGCTCTCAGCCATTGAGTCAACCCACCTTTCCAGCCACCCCACCTCATGCCGTATGTTAACACCGAGCTTTCTCACCAAGAGCCTTGACCAAATTGAACACACATAAGAAGAGTAAGTAACTGTTATTGTTGTTTTTTAGTCAGGTTCTCCCTCTGTGATCAGGCTGGCCTGGAACTCCCTATGTGACTTTGGCTGGCCTTGAACTCCAATTTTTTTATCCTTCTGCCTCAGCCTCCTTAGTGCTGGAATTACAGGAGTGTGCTATTATGTTTTAAGTCCCTGAATTTGGAATCGTTTGTTATAAAACAACAACTGTAACGCAAATTCATAAATACAACTTGGACATGCACAAAAAGAAAAAAAATACTTACCCTAAGTTTCACCATTGTGAACATTTTGACACATTTTACAATCAAGAAAATGCTTTGTCCCACTCAAGATTACAAATGTTGTTTTTACCAAGATAAAGGATTAAATTTTTAAAGGTAGTCACCTATTTTTTATCTAAGTTAAAACAGGAAGAACAGTCAATACTGTTTTCTTACCCTCAACTATCTCTTTCACTTACCTATCCAAGTGAGGTGTCTGAGGATTACTGCCCCACCGATATTCCAGTCTACAGATATGGATCAAGATCTTGGGCTGCAGCAGCAGATCCACTGGTTCTTTTCTTTGGAAGAAGTTGCTTAAATCCCAAATCTGAAATTTCCAAGGAAAGGAAATACTAAATATAAACACTTCCTTTCAATTTCAAACACTTATAATTCTGTCCCTATATCTGACTGCACATAGATGGAGTCTGTTAAGGTACACAAAAGTAAATGCAAAAGATTCAATAAAAGTGGGTTGGACAGTGTGGATTCAGATCCCAGCTATATACTATATTAAGAGCTATAGGGCGGGGTGTGATGGCGCACGCCTGTAATCCCAGCACTCAGGAGGCTGAGGCAGGAGGACTGCTGTGAGTTCAAGACCAGTTCGGGCTACATAGTGAGTTCCAGGTCAATCTCAACTACATATTGAGACCCTGTCTCAAAAAACCAAAAAAAAAAAGCTATAGGATCTTACGTAAGTCACAAATTCTTTCTTCCTAAATCCGATCATGTGACAAAGATTGAAGGTCAGAATCAAAACTTTGAGCTGACAGAAGACCAGGGTTCCAAATTCAGTTATTCTGCCTTGCTATAAACTCAGTTTCATCATTTATAAAAGGAGAGGATTGAATTAGATCGTGTTTCTTGAAATCCAATCCCCAAACAGGTGCCAACCAGAACAAAATAATATGTATAAAGTTACCAATTGTGTTCACTATGAGACAGACTATCCAGTCTACTTATTTGATGTTAAAATTGTCTTTTAATGAGATATAAAGAGTTTTTTTTGAATGGTGTCAAAATAAAAAGATGTATGTATTATATAAGTAACCTAAATTGTTAAGATTCTAGTGTCCGAGTTTCATGAGCTCTAAAATTCCTTCTATTTCTAACATTCCACACTACTCAACTAATATTTACTAGGCACCTAATATGTGACTGGGACTAGTTACTGAAGGCTGGAGGAATAGATAAAATTAGTTCCTCCTCTAAAAAAATAAAAATAAAAACCTCCCCATCAAAAAGGGAAACAGACACATAAACTTCGCATACAATATATTATGTTAGGTCTTCTATTAAAGACTATGAAACTTATGACACATGGGAAGAAGAAAGGTGGCATGACTTAAAATGAAGTAGAAGCCTAAGGGCACGGCCAAGTGGTACAGTTGCCGGTAGGTGTGAGGTACTGGGTTTGCTCCTTAGCACCTCAAAAACAAAATTTTAATAGAATTTTGGAGTGAATTTCATAGTAGGGATTACCTAAACTCTTTGAACACTGATTCCTTATTTGCAAAATGATAATGATTACAGAAACGGTATCACAGAGTTGTGGTAAATACACAAGATGCTAAAAATACAAGGACAGTCTCTCAAGAAATTCCTCATACAAGACTAATCAAAAATTTATCATTACACAAAGCAACCAGCACACTCATAATCCCAGCATGAGGATCACAATTCCAAGCCAGCCTGGGCTACATAGCAAGTTCAAGGCCAGAATGGACTATACAGCCTCCAATTCCATCATCATAGCAGGCACAATGGCATGTGCCTATAGTGCTAGCTACTCAGGAGGTGGAAGCGGGGGGGGGGCTTGCACCCAGGAGTTCAAGGCCAGCCTGGGCAACACAGTGATACCTTTTGTTTAAAAACATACAAAAAAGTACCATTTTAATAATCTAGTGCAAAGGCAGTTTTAACAACATTTATTTAAAACACTGTAAAACTCAGATGTGCCTTTCTCCACTAGTCTCTAAGCGGCTTCAGGTCAGATTCAAGTTTGGTCCATTTTATATTCCTAACACTTAGTCAATGTCTAAAAAATTTCATGCATCAACAGTTTATTAGAATAAGGACTGAAGGAATTAATGAATGGCCTTTCTCTTTTTATAGTAAACTTACAGTAGCTGAAAGTTAAAATATCAGGATTTTTATTCAAAACTAAATTTTAGTGTGTATAAGTGGCCACACAATATATTATAATCTGTTCAAAAATATTTTATTGATACATTTTAGATATACAAAACAGTTACATTGTCATTGGGATCTTGTACTTTTACATGACATATCTTGGTTCTTATTTTTTCCCCATTCCCATAGCCTCCCTGCCCTGCTCCATCCTTCCCTATTTATAAAGACTGTGTTTCCATTTTTTTCCTTTTCTCTTTTTTCTCTTCCCTTTTTTACCTTTCCCCTACCCTCCCACTTCCCTTACACCTTTAGACCTTTTCTTCCTATTACAAAATATCAATTATATATTTTGACCCTTTGTTACACTTTTAGTTTATCACACCAGAGAAACTATATGGTATTTACACATGTGTGACTTATTAATTTCACTTAAGAGTATGTCCTCAATGTGCATCCACTTAGCTATAAATGTCTCTAGTTTCTTTTCTTTATGGCTGAGTAGTACTCCATTTTATTTAAAAAACACACATTCGATCGCTGGTACATCACACACACACACACACACACACACACACACACACTTTCTTTATCCAGTCTCCAGTTGATGGGCAATTGGGCTGTTTCCAAGTTTTAGCTATTACAACCATGTACAAAGCATATATCACTGCAGTATGATTCTTTTAATTTAGGGGGGAAGATACCCAGCAGAGGATAGTTGAGTCAATTGGGACTTCCAATCCTAGTTGTTTAAGGTATCTCCATATTGATTTCCACAGTGGTTGCACCAATCTGCACTCTCACCAATAATGAAAAAGGGTTCCTTTCTCCACACAACCCCACCAACATTTATTACTGGTTGATTTCTTGATAGCAGCCATTCTTTCTGGGGTGAGGTGGAATCTCAGTGTTGTTTTCATCTGCATCTCTCAAATAACCAGTGATGTTGAACACTTTTTCATATATTTATTTGCTGCTTTTACTTCTTTGACTGAGAAATGTCTGTTCATTTCAGATGCCCATTTCTGAATTGGATTTTTGTATTTGGGGGGCCTAATTCTTTTTTTTAGTTCTTTATATATTCTAGATAATAGACCTTTGTCTGAGAAACAGCTGGTAAAAATTTTTTCCCACATCGTAGGTTGTCTCTTAGCACTGTTGGTAGTTTCTATTGTAGTGCAGAAGCTTTTCAAAAAGATGAGATCCCAGTTGTTGATTCTTTGTGCTAGTTCCCATGCTATTGCGTATTTGTTCATAAAATGTTTTCCTATGCCAATGTCTTCAAGAGTTCTACCTAGCTTATCTTCCAACAAGTTTAGTGTTTGTTTTAATATTTAGATCTTTAATCCACTTTGATTTTAGTTTAGTGCATGGTGAAAGATAGGGGTCTAGTTTTAATCTTTGGCAAGTTGAAATACAGTTTTTCCAATGCCATTTATGAAAGAGGCTATCTTTCCTAAAGTGAGGATGGTTGGCTCCTTTGTCAAAGAATATATTATAATCTGAATGTGCATATTCCTGTTTTAAAAAGCCAAAAATTCACCATAGAAATGCAACAATGCTGCTCCTGAATAAGACTAGCAGCAACTAACATTTTCTGCAGTTATTATCTGCCAAAAACTCTTCTAAGAATTTTGTGTAGATTATCTCAATTAATCCTGACAACGACTCTTACAAGGACTACTGTATTACTATTCTCTATTTACAACTAGGAAAACTAAGACACAGAGAAGCCAAGTACTTCCCAAGACCACAAAAACTACTAAACAGTGGAGCTGAGATTAAAAAATAATAATAATTATAAATCAAGTTACCTTATGCTAAAATAAAGTACCCAAGATTTTTTTCACTGTTATTATGTGTGCTAAACACAAATATATAATATATATTCCTTGACCTCAAACATCTTTCAACATTGTGATATAGTCACACCCTAACTCAGGGGCAAAACACTTCCCTAGCACAAGAGGCTCAGGTTAAATTCCTATCAAAGGGGGGAAAAGTCACAGAGTATGTAGGAAAAGTTTATATGGTCTTAAATAAAAATTAGTTAAAAATAGAAGCATTAACAACTTGTTTTGCACAGCCATCTACTTTCATATGACCTTTGGGGAAAAAAAAAAAGAGTACAAACAGCTGGATTTCATTTCCAATAGATGCTCTAACAAAACAACTTCAGATGTAATTTGTAAAATATATTTTTAGCCAACAATGTGTTTCAGTTCATTGGTTCACTGGCCTGCTTCTTGAACAAACTATAATATTTCTGATGTCTGACTTTCAATTTTAACAGTTGTGTTATATCAGAGAACTAATCATTAACAAAAACAGAAGTAACAAGATGTAGCAAGTGTTTTTCAGGTATAAAAAAACTAGAGAAAACACCTGACATCTATTTAACCAAATATAGTCAATATAATTAAAGCAACATTTAAAGTTCTTAAAATTACATTTCACAATCCTCTAGGAGTGCATTTCACATCTTTCTGCCTCCATAACAGCGCAATAAACAAAGTCTCCTTACTGTCTTGTAACTCATTTCAAAGAAACCAATATTCCAGCGACACCGGTCAAGAAGACGTAAATTATGAGTGCTAATTACTCAGAATCTTATGATTAGAGCAGGCTAGGTATTATATTAAGGAAATATTAAAACTGTTTCTAAAATAGTACCAAAAAGAAAAAAATTGAACTACAAAAAACACAATTGGAAACATTAGCACTGTGAATTCATAGAACCCAACTAAATAAATGGCTGCTGGCTCAAAAATCTGGCTTGCCAAATTTTCCCCTGTGGATAAATGTTCAATATCCACTATAACATTTTATACCACCTCCAAGATTTAAGAGTCTTTTACTAATTCTATGAAGATAAGGGAGTAATACCCAGATTATTTACACTCCATGTAGTTGCCACTGAGGGAGCAACTCAGAGAAGAGCAACTCTAGCACAATATTTAAGCTTTATTCAGACTGGGAAGCAAAGACTATTGACATACTCTCCACACAGAATATACTCATCAAAGAACACTTGTTTAAAAAAGAAGAAGAAAACACACTAATTTTTATTTTCTTACTAGAATCACTATGCAAATTACAGTAAATACAGTGGGAAAAACATTGCTAATTGCAAAATAAGTCATCCTAGTCAATACTTAACTCTTATAAATTTTAATTATCTAACTAGATACTTACTTTTATTATACCTGAAGATCCTTTTCTCTTCCCCTCCAAGATTCAGCATTTCAGCCCCAGTACCTTTTCAAAGGTTTCAGCCCCATTCACCATCCAACTTCAATTGTGTATGCTATTCAAAAAATAGGTGATTACTTTTCTTAATATCCCTTCTTAACATATGAACATTAACAGATCTTATCATTTTATTTCACCAAGGCCAAATGTGAGCTGCAGCTCATATTTCCAAGTCTGTGTTGCTGGCTCCAAACAACTCTTCTCAAAATTGCACAAGGATATGCTTATTTTTTCTGAATTATGTACTAAATCATTCCTGCTACTCAAAGTGTGGTTTATAAACCAATACTATCAGCAACACTTGTTAACTTATTAGAAATGCAGAACTTCATGTCCTACCCTAGACCTGCTTGAATGAGAATCAACACTAACAAATGCTGAGACTATTCATATACACAGGAAATTTTGAGAAAGCTATCTAGTTTACTCATCAGAGTCTCTCCCTATGTGTTAGTTACTTTTCTCTCATTGCTGAGACAAAATACCCGGCACCCAAAGTTGGAGGGTTTATTTGGCTTACATTTCACAGAGGTTTAAGTCTATATAATCGGCTGGCTCCATAGCAGAGTGGTTGGCAGATAGGCATCACAGAGGAGAAACAACATGGCATGCACAAGGTAGCAGAGGTAACAAGAGAATTTAACAGCATCTTTCTGTCCCTTTTATTGTATTCAGACTACTGGATGGTGCCAAACTAATCACTCGTGTAGTGGCTTAGTAATCACATGCCCTTAATCCCACCATCACACATTCCAGATTCAGCTATCTTTAAGAAAGTTGAACTCGGGCTAGGGATTTAGCACAGTGGTACCATGCCTGCCTCGCAAGTGCAAGGTCCTGAGTTCAATCCCTGGTACACCCCCCCTCCTCCACAAAAGTAAGAAAGTCCCGCCTCATCTGTATGAGGCCTTGGGGAGACGTCTACAAACTGTAACAGTCTGCTTTATAGTTCATTTCCTATCTGGCATATAAGGAATCAAATTATTTTTCTTTTGAGTATATTAAAACCCACAAAAATAAAGCAAAGGATCTTTAAATAAAGGCACAGTGGCACATGCCTTTATTCCTAACACTGGACAGGCTGAAGTATGACAATCTCAAGTTTGAGGCCAGCCTAGGCAACACAGTGAGTTCGAGGCCAGCCTGGACTATACAGCAAGAAGCTATCTCAAAAAAGTTTCTTCATAGGGCCGGGGGTTTAGCTCAGTGGTTCCGCTGCCTACCTCGCAAGCACAAGGAACTGAGTTCTATCCCCGGTACCAAAAAAAAACAAAAAACAAAAAAAGAAAACAAAACGTTTCTTCATGACTTTCTTTCCAAACAAGATCATAAACTCCCCAGAACCCAAGAATTTCATTTTATCCTCAAAACTAAAACAGTAATAGGTAAAAATATTTATAGAGAGAACAAAATAGATACCAGATGATCCCTTGAAGTCCTCCAACTCTTAAATCTTTGGCTGTTACATTTACTATGCAAGCAAAATTCTAACTCAATTTATAAAATTAAAAATATGCTACTTTAAATGACAGGGTCAAGATCATAAGTCAGACTATTAAGTTCATAAGGCTAACATAGTATTTCAATATTGTATCGGATCAAATGACAATAATATTTCTTCCATATATATGTACTGTCATCCAAGTAGCTAATAAACTCAAATCCAGAAGAGGTGTATTCTGGGAGCTGAAGGAAACACAAAGTGTGCCCTCTCTACCAGAAAGAATCTGTACATGAAGATTATAAGGTATGATTCACTGTTCAAAACCACAACAAGGAAATGCTTTCTCAATTCTTATGTCAAACTGAAATAGGTAAAAGAAACAAAAGGAAAAGAACTGTATGGCAAAAGCACTAGAGACCAGATATAGCAACAGAATACAGAAGGGAAAAATATTACAAGCAAGAATATGATTTAGACTATAAAAGGCAAAGGTGGCTAACACCAATTAAAGTAACATCTACTTCAGGAACCTCTAAGATCAATTATGCAAGAAATTGTTAAAACAAGCAAATTTATTCTTCCATCTACCATATCTCACATATCTAAATTAATAAAGAATATCCCTAATCCTTAAAAATGAATAAAAAGCAAACTAAGTTCAATACATTTTGTTGTCTAAGTTTTCGTCTAGAAGAAATTTCAATCCCTATGAAGATTTTCAGTTTTAAAAATTGGTTAAAGTCTTGGTTCATTATTTATCTTCCATACCACATTTCTCCTGTCTGCTTCGAATAATGATCAGTCTGAAACTCTGATGTAATCAGTTATGTGGAGTTATTCTAGGGGTTGAGAAGGATAGTGCTGGGGACTGAACCCAGGGCTTCTGCACTGCTTTATGTCCTCATCCCTTTATTTTTAATTTCAAAAAAGGTTCTCTAAGTTGCCTAGGCTGTGCTTAAACCTGTGATCCTCCTGCCTCAGCCTCCCCCAGAATACCAACATTGTAGATATGCACCATCACACCTAGCTGGAGACCCACACACACATACTAGGTACCAGGGATTGAACTCAGGCCCTTGCGCTTGTCAGGCAGGTTTGGTGCCATTGAGCTAAATCCCAGGCTCCTGGCTGGAGATTTTTCATATCTAAAAAATTTTTCTAGAACTATAATTTTATGAAGGAAAACAATGTTGAATCAGGGTGGAGGCATGATTATCAGAATAAGGATTCAAAGTAAAAAAAAAAATCACAAAAAAAGATTTATATATTTAATTATAAAAATATAGAAGTCTACACTGCAAAAGACATTATGAAGAAACTTAGAGATAAATGACAAGTTGGGAAAACATTTAAAATATAAGACAAAGATTTAATACCCTTTCATGTATAAGTAGTTTTACAAAACAAATTTTTTAAAGGCAGCAAGACACGCACACACAACTGACAAAAGAAAGAAAACCATGTGCATAAGATGTTCAATTTCATTAGGAATAACCAAAGAGATAAGTAAATATCCTATCAAACTGACAAATACTAGAAAGGTCAATACTGCCTAGAATTGTACAAGGTACAGGAAATCTGACACTCTTTTTCACTATACCAATAATCATTTACCAATACACAAGCTATCAGAAAAATAATCACACTTCAAAATATGCTCATCCTTTGACCCAATTTTTAGAAAATTTAAACTTAACTACGAATGAAAATAACATAACATATAGAAGGTATTCAAAAATACTTGATAAGTCATAGTTTTACAATAGCAAAAATTGTCAGCAATGAGTATGTTATAAAATAAACCATGGAATACCCATACAATGAAATCCTATAGGTCATTTAATACTATGAGGCGATCTACAATCACTGATTTAAAATACACCTACAGACTAGAAATGTAGGTCAGTGGTAGAGTGCTTGCTTAGCATGTGCAAGACCTCAGCCACCCCATCCCCCAATTTTTAAAGGCACTTTATGGGGCTGGGAGTGGGACACAAACAGTAATCCCAGCAACTCCAGAGGCTAAGGTAGGAGTACTGCAAGTACAAGGCCAGCCTGGGCAACTTAATGAGAGCTACTTTAAACTAAAACATCAAAAGGGTGGTAGAGCACTCCTGGGTGAAATCCCACGTACCACCATCACCACCACAAAAAAGAAAGAAAGAAAAGCAGCTAAGGCCTGCAGCAGGATGGCTTGAGCCCAGGAGTTTGAGGCCAGTCTGGGCAACACAGCAAGAACATATCTCTTAAAATAAATAAATAACATATACCTATAAGGTTAGGTTGCTACTCAGTGGTAGTGTGTGCTTAGCACCCACAATGTTCCAAGTTCAATTTCCAGCAGTAAGTAAATAAAATACACCTATGATATGAAAAAACAGAAAAGTATCTCAAAACTTTAAAAAAGCAAACATAATGACAGACCATATGATGCAGCAAAACCCCACTTCTGGGTATATACCCCTCTCCCAAAACAAATTGAAAACAGGGACTCAAACAGATTTATACACACCAACGATCACAACAACACTCACAAGTAGCCAAAAGATGAAAACAACCCAAGTATCCATCAATAGATAAAATATAGTACATATACACAATTCAATATCATTTAGCCTTTAAAATGAAATTCTGACATGCTCCAAATGGATTAACTTTAATTATACTAAATGAAATCAGATATAAAGGACAAACATGTGATACCATGTATGTGAGATACCCAGAGTAGTCAAAATCAGAGATAGAAAGAAGAATGGTGTTTGCCCGGGCTGAGAAGAGAGGGGAATGGAAAGTTATCACTTAATGGGTACAAAGTTTCAGTGACAATGGTTTCATAACAACGTAAATGTAGTGACTGTATACTACAAATGATTTAAATGGTAGCATCTGTATTATGGATTTTTTTTCTTTTTGGGGGGGTACCAGGGATTGAACTCGGGTCTTTGAGCTTGCAAGGCAGGCGGTGGCACCACTGAGCTAAATCCCTGGGCCTGTATTATGGATAGTTTACTGCAAGAAAAAAAAAAAAAAGAAGAAAAGAAAAAGAAGAAACCATATCATAATTTCTAGGCTGGACTGGACATTGTGATTATTGTTATTATATTATTTTGGTACCAGGGATTGAACTTGGGACTTTGCACTTGTGAAGCAGGCAGCAGAACCACCAAGGTAAATCCCCGGCCCTGTTTGTTTATTTTTGGTACCAGGGATTGAACTGTCCTTGCACTTGTAAATTAGGTGGCAGCACCACTGAGCTAAATCCCCAATCCATGTTTATTATTTTTGAATCCTGTATTAATACAAAATGAGGGTTTAAAAAAAAAACACTACCTTGATCACACCTGTTCTTAGTCCCTTATTTAGCACCTCTATACAAATCAACGATATCTATAAAGTACAAATATTCTCTGAAGTTCAAAGAGAATTTTTAGACACTTTATTAAATACTGAACTACATTTAAAACATGTCATTTCTTTGCCTAAATTAACAATTAAGAATAAAGCCAAATATGCCACAGTAAGCTTTTTCAGTGGCTGCTCTCATCCTGCAGAGTGCACTTATTTTCCTACTTTAATTGGCCCACACTCACTGAGCAGAGCATATTTCTTTT